TACAGACAAAGAATATACATATATCCATTCTTTATAGGCCCTCACAAACTCAGTGACCCTTGAGGATGCTCTGTTTTTCACATGTGGCCCTCGGTCTGCAGTCGTGGAGTTGCTTTGGTGTGGTTCGGGTGTATGGTTTTTATGGTTTATGCCTCTGAGAAACAAGATATAGACGGCAACATATTGATTTTGAGGTTATTGTCATATAGCGAACCGCGTCGAAGATTGGGCTACCCCTTTCTAAGGAACCACATTTTGGGTGACTGCTAAATTTTAAATAAAGTGAGCCTGCCAGTGGATAGGCTCACAAAACCTCTTGCTGAGGTGAAGGCCCCCTCAGACAGCACACTGGCTGCAGATAGAGCCAGAAGCCCCAGTGCATACTGTACAAACTGGTGGTCCAGCCTGCACACCCAATAGTCCACAGTGTCCTTACTTCTAAGAGTGTTGCAGGGTCTCAGTTGGCTGTGTGGCCTCTCAGGTGGGCTGTGCGAGCTCTCGGGAAGCTGTGCAGGCTCTCAGGTGGCTGGTCTGGCATCTCAGGTGGGATGTACAGGGTCTCAGGAGGCTGTGGGGGCTCCCAGGTGGGCTGTGTGGGCTCTCGGGTGGGCTGTGCAGTGTTTCCCGTGGGCGGTTTGGGGTCTCAGGTGGGCTGTGCGAGGTCTCAGGTGGGCTGTGTGGGCTCTGTGGGCTCTCGGTTGGCTGTGAGTCATCTCAGGTGGGCTGTGCGGGGTCTCAGGAGACTCTGCGAGCTCTCAGTTGGGCTCTGCAGGCTCTCAGGTGTGCTGTGGGCGGCATCTCAGATGGGCTGTGTGGGCTCTCAGGTGCGCTGTAAGCAGCGCCCTGAGCTCCCCAGAAGGCTGTCGTGAGCTCCCCAGCAAGCAGGTTTAAAGCAAATTTACAAATTGCACCGGGGCCTTGTTTTACGAGTACCAAAATGCCCAGTATCGGCACTGATACCAGTACTGGTGCCAATACTGGTAATGGCAGATGAGGCTCTGAATCACTTGTTTGGGGGCAGCGATTTTTGCCTCCCCCCAGGAAGTGCCGCCCAAAGCAAATGCCTAGTTTGCCTTGCGGTAGATACACCTCTGCAAGGTACATGTGTGAATTTTCCCTGGATAAGAGCAGCCAGCAGGTTAGTGCCATTGTCACACATGAACTCGTCTGACTGAAAATGGTGTGGGGTCAACTAGACATGTGCGATTCGGTTCGTTCCGAAATTCGTTTTGGACGAATTTTCGGAAATTCGGATGCATCACAACCACCTTTTAGCCTGGCTCCAGAGGGCTGCCAGAAGCTCTGGCCCAGTGTGGCTCCTGCCCCCCATGTAAACAAGTTGCAACAGAGCATGGCAGCGTGTAGCCTGGAGCATTGCATATGCTCTGGGGTGCTTGGGACTGTTATTAAACATCTGCCCAATGGCAAGGCCCCTGGTCCAGACGGGCTCCCTTACTTATATTATAAAACTTTTAGCTCCATTCCTAAACCCTACTTGTTAACACTGTGTAATGATTTCTTACAATCCTCGCCCATACCTTCGCCCATGCTTACTTTCCATGTCACGGTCCTTTCCATGACGGATAAAGACCATACGGAATGTGCTAATGATCGCCCTATAGTCCTTATATATTCTGATTTGAAGATTTTCACTAAGTTACTGGCCCTTCGACTTTGTGCGCTGCTCCCCTCTCTAATACATTCTAACCAAATGGGTTTTGTACCCGGTAGGCAGGTGGCCAACAATACTAGGCGCACTACTGACCTTGTGAATGTTCTGAACCATCATAATACGGCGTCCTTGATCCTGAGTCTTGACACACAATAGGCGTTTGACGGCCTTAGTTGGCCCTTTCTGATCTCCACTTTAGAACATGTAAGGACACAGGGACCGTTTCTGAATACTATTATTAATCTTTACTCTGTCCTCTCTGCCGCTATTAAACTTCCACTTACGATTTCTTCTCCATTCTCCATCCACAATGGTACGAGATAGAGATGCCCTTTATCTCCCCTCTTCTTTGTCCTTTGTATTGAGTCTTGAGCTGCTCATATAAGGAGTTCTCCGGACATCATCGGCGTACAGGTCGGTAGGCAACAATCGAAACTTGCCCACTTTGCGGACGATATTCTTTTGACTTTAACCAAACCCCTAATTTCTTTACCTTATCCACATAAAGAGCTTTATTGTTAGTCGCACCTTTCGGGGCATAAACTTAATCTAACGAAAACAGAGGCTTTGCCACTTAATATCCCCCAGGACATGCTCCCCAATCTCCAATTGTCACGATCTGGGATCAGGCGCGGAGTCCAGTAGCTGAAGCAGCAGGCAATTTGTTGTATAACAGGCCGGGTTCGGTACACAAGCAAAGGTAAATAGTGGAGGAGCAGGCAGAAGCGTAGTCAGCGAACAAGCCGAGGTCAGGAGCCAAAGGTATCGGGTATGAAGCAGAAGACGATGAGAGTAGTCGGCGAATCAGCAGCCAAAGGTCGCTTCTGCCTGCTCCTCCACTACTACCGTCTGCTTGTGTACCAAACCCGGCCAACGCTAACAAGACGTCTATATGTACCTTGTACAAGGAAAACAAGTACAAAATTCTTCATCATTGGTACCACCAGGGCCGGATTTACTCTCTCTGCTGCCCCAAGGCCAGGTTCCTCAATGCGCCCCCCTACCCACCAACCCCCCCCCCATCACTTGTATGCAGGCTGCATACAAGTGACGTCGGCGAAATCACAGAGATCACTTGTACAAAACAAGCGGCGGCGTCCCCGCTGTACATTTATCTCTGCTTGCCCAAAGCAGGGCTAAATGTAGAAAACAACTACCCGCCCGTCACCCGGAACTGCATGTCCCGGGCATCAGGAGCTGGGAATTCCACACCCCCTGCTGCCCCTCTACTCCCTGCTGCCCCAAGGCCGGGCCTTGGTTGGCCTTGTGGGAAATCCGGGCCCTGGGTACTGTACCCCTGAACGTTTACTTACCATGAATCGGCGTTCATAGGCGTTCAGTGAAGGTTTCTCTCATGTAGCTGCTTTTGCTGAGGCCGCCAGGCGTTTTTGCCCAACAGTACCTATCTACAAATAACTTGAGTCTGATACATTAATAAGAAATTATTTGGAGTCTCGTGTTGAGGAGAAAAAAAGAAAAAGGATAGAAAGAGACTGTACGGCTTCAGTGAAGGCTTACATCCCGAACGAAGAACAAAAAAAGCCGAGATAAAGCTATCTCCTGAACCCATCACAGTCATTATTGTTTCTTCGTTACATTTGACGGCTACTTAATTTTCCGGAACTCCGCCCAATGATTGAGGATACCAGGCCACTTTGTATCGCTCCAGCAGATTTAATTCTGCTTTGCCTTCTGTTTTTGTTCTTTTGAATTTACCTTCTTCAAAACCACCTTGGATCATATAACCCCATGGAAACAGCACAGGGGTTCAGTTAAGGCATTAATCTACAACACCCAGCAAGAAGCCGAGATAGATAAATATTATATCTTCTGAACCTCCTGTCTTTGGTAACCGGATTCAATCACAAAAGTGGCAACACTATTCTTCGTCTTCAAAACGAGGTTTCATCCTATCGTGAGTCAAATCCTTTTTTTACATCTTGATGCTGACTTTATTTTTGTTTTCTCCTTCCCCTTTTTCATACATATGTATGTTCACTCCTCAAATACAGAGCTCTTTTGTTTTTCTCGTTTTTCCATAAACATGGGTAATTTTTCCCATTTATGTGGAGACTTTTGAAACCAGAAAAAAACCCATAAATATACAGTATATATATTCGTGATACCAGTTAAAAATATTTAGGCTCTTACACGGCGTGCCTCTACACTGCTTTTTTATAGCATTTTTCCATAGCACTGTTAAGAATTACTAGCAGAATGCAGCTATATGTATTTGTGTGCATTTTGATATAATGATGTTTGTCAGATAGACACTGGGAGGGCTACAACCCCTTCCCTCCCTTCCCCTCATGACAAACACAGATAACAGCTTACACAGGGAATCAGACATTTACATACACAGTCAGACAGTACAATAGGGTGAGCCTCAGATAACAGGTGAGGGGGGGGGAGTGGGTAAGAGGCCAGTCTGCAGCCCCCTCCAACTAGCAGTGTGACGGTGCAGTCCGTCACACCCTGCGTGGGGAAAACTGCATCTTTTAGCCTGTCATATCCTTGCTTAAAAGACAAGTAGACATATGCATACCGGAAGATCCTGCACACTTACTTCTAGGAGTTCCCATTCCACATGCGACTAAGACACGCTCCAAGCTTGTTGCCCTCGCAGTAGCGAGACGCTTAATAGCATTATAGTGGCGGCAACTAATTCCCCCCTCTGATTTAGATCTGCTCCTGAGGAGTCATGATATACACAACTTGGAATATCTCACCACCAGATTAAATAATTCAGTCTCTAAATTTGACGCGGTGAGGTCTCCTTGGCGGCTCCTCGAATGATCTACTAGCGGTTCCTGAGATCGGGAATAGATAAAGAGTGGTCTCCCTTGTCCTGTGGATGGGATGCCTGGACTCTTACACTTCTCTCCCTTCTTTCTCTCTTTCCTTTCCTTTTCCTTTCTTGCTGTCTGTCCTGACTTTCACTCAGGGCCGGTTCACACCACAAAGAGTGCGTTCCAGAGCGTTCGGCCTCTGGAACGCAACCCAGTCGGTCCAGTGCGATCTGCTAAAAATGCTGCAAGCACTATTTTTGCAGATCTCACTCGACCGGAACGCAGGCACTAATGTGCCAGGCGTTCGGGTGTGGGCGATCAAACTAAGGACGGGGGGGGGTGTGTGTGTGTGTGTGTGTGTGTGTGTGTGTGTGTGTGTGTGTGTGGCTGCAGTGCCATTGACTTTAATGCAGATAAAGCCGGCCTCGTTTCCTGGGGCCATATCGATAAAGCAGTTAATGTGATATTCACCAAACATTCACTGCAAGTAAACCACACTGTAATTAAAACACTGACCAAAGACCAATGAAATGGTCCCGTTAATATTTATTGTTACTAAAGATCCATTTGATTACTTTTCCAAGAGTTTTCTTAATCTCCTCAGTCCTCAGACAGAATATGATGGGGCTGGTGAAATGTGGAGCATACGTGTACAGACAGATCAGAAGAACATTGACATCGGCGTTGGGGATCAGCTGTATCTGGTTATACGTGTGAACGGTCAGTCGAGGGATAAAGTACAACCCGATAACCAACCAATGGGTTGTACAGGTGTAAACGGCCTTCTGCCAGTTCTTCGTCCGGCCTGATGAGCAGATGTTCGAGATTATTATGCAGTAGGAGAAGACGATGAAGGAGAACGGAGACAGATGTGATATCATGGCAATGACAAACCCCGTTCTTCTGGATGAAGCCGAATCCGAGGTCGATAAAACAGCGACTGGGGTGAGGGAGCAAAAGCAGCTTTTGATCCTGTTGGTGCCACGAAAAGGAAGCCATAGACCCAACGCAGTGACAGAAAAGCCAATGGCAGCTGCCAAGATCCAGAAGGCGAGGCAGATGATGGCCACCACTCTGTTGCTGATGATAGAATGGTACCTCAGAGGTTTGCAAACGGCAATATATCGGTCAAAGGCCATCACCATGATAATTAAGGAATCCAGAGATCCCAGATAATGGACAAAAAACATTTGTAGGAAGCATGCGGTGTAGGAAAAGGAGCCGTCTCCGAACCAGTACTTGGCAATGATCTTTGGCAAGGTCAACGTGTCGAAAAGCAGGTCAGAGATGGCCAAGTTTCCGACAATGATGTACATGGGCTGGTGGAGATGCTGCCTTAGTAAAATTAACACCACCACAATTAAATTTGCATAGAGAGAAATATTATATATCAGAAAGAAGGATACGGAAACTAGAGAGTGGAACTTTTCTGGAACACCGGGGAAACCAACCAGGACAAACTCCAGGACATCTGACCGGTTCTGGCCGGCCATGGATTTACATGGGAATTCACATCTGAAATAATGAAACCGCAGGCATGGCTTTTAAGATTTAACATAATGAAGTTCAAATGTTGCAGTTTAGTTTGAGTTTTAAGAGTCCACTTATTAATCAAGTATCACCTTTACTTATAATGACCCTGTCAGCAGCCGTGTGAATGAACTCCATCTACACCTACCTTTCTGGTGGCCTATATCTTAAAATGCTGCCACTTGACTGTTGTCCAGCCTCTGCAGATATTACATCCTCCGGGGTATGTTACATACCGGTTCCTCTTCTGTGCTGTGGTACATCCCGCTGGCTTGTTCGTCCTGTAGTGATATAGGAGCTGGCAGGAGGAACCATTGCGTTCAGTGGGAGGAGCAAACATTGACACGCTCGGAAGTGTAGAATACCTGCAACAGCTGGAGAGCAGTAAGGTTTCATGACATGGGCCGCCACTTCTTTTACAAGGCTGGCTCTCTTTTATGAGTGACCTTGTAATAATCTCCATTCATATATACAGTAAATGTGTTTATTAAAATCCCTAAATTTATTTTAAATACAGCTAATATACAATCAATATCTGAGTTAGCATTCTCTAATCCTCAGTACAGGAGAGAATATAAGCACTGTGAGCCAATGAGGCTCTATGTATTGCACAGTGCTGTCAATCTAACACTGAAGGCCTGCAGAAAGGAGGAGAGAGCAAGGTGTGCCTGCCATCCCCTTTCCGGCCAGAGCGTCCCAGGTTGCTAAGAGCCGGGTGGGGAAATGCATTAGGGCCATACACATCTCCCCACCCAGCTCCTGGCAACCACTGAGATCACTGGAAGTCCTGGATGTGAGCATGGCAGGAGGTGACTAGGGAACCTAAGAGCAGGAGGTCTTGGGAGGAGAAGAGAAGACATTGAATTTTATACATTGGGAGCGGAAGCCAGTGGAGGGATTTGCAGAGAGGGGCAGAGGATGGAAGCTAAGTGGAGGGATTGGCAGAGAGGAGCAGGTGATGGAAGCTATGTGCAGGGATTGGTAGAGAGGGGCAGGGGATGGTAGCTAAGTGGAGAGATTGGAAGAGAGGGGGGTGGGGGGATTGAAGCCAGTGGAAGGATTGTTAGAGAGGTATGGAGGATGAAAGAAAGTGGAGGTATTGGCAGATAGGGGCAGAGAATGGAAGCCAATGGAAGGATTGGCAGAGAGGGGCAGAGAATGGAAGCCAGTGGAAGGGTTGGCAGAGAGGGGCAGAGAATGGAAGCCAGTGGAAGGGTTGGCAGAGAGGGGCAGAGAATGGAAGCCAGTGGAAGGGTTAGCAGAGAGGGGCGGGTGATGCAAGCTAAGTGGAAGGATTGTTAGAGAGGTATGCGGGATGAAAGCCAGTGGAGGGCTTGGCAGAGAGGGGCAGGGGATGGAAGCCAGTGGAAGGGTTGGCAGAGAGGGGCGGGTGATGCAAGCTAAGTGGAAGGATTGTTAGAGAGGTATGCGGGATGAAAGCCAGTGGAGGGCTTGGCAGAGAGGGGCCGGCGGATGGAAGCCAGTGGAAGGATTGGCAGAGAGGGGCGGGTGATGCAAGCAAAGTGGAAGGATTGTTAGAGAGGTACGGCGGATGAAAGCCAGTGGAGGGCTCGGCAGAGAATGGAAGCCAATGGAAGGATTGGGAAAGAGTGACAGGGGATGGAAGCCAGTGGAGGTTTTTGACAGAGAGGGGCTGCAGACACTGAACAGTTGGTAAGATGGATGAGTCTAGCTGCAGCATTCATGATAGATTGAAGAGGGGAGGAGCCTGTGTAGAGGTAGACCAATGAGGAGGAAGTTGCAATGATCACGGTGAGAAATAATAAGGGACAGAATCAGCAGCTTAGAAATTGTATTGGTTAAGGAGGAGCGAATTTAGGAAATGTTATAGAGGTGAATGCGGCAAGACTTGTACAGTGATTGAGCGATTGGATGTAGGGCTGAAAGGATAGATCAGAGTCCCGGATTACACCGAGCACCCTGGCATGAGGAAGGAGGGGGGAGACAGTCGGGCTATTTATCTAAAAAGAAAATTTGGTGATAGGCGGAAGACTCTTCATGAGCTCAGTTTTTTGATAGACTGGTATAAATCCAAAACGTTTTTTTTTTTTAGTTTTGAGTAAAAAAGTTATCAACCCTGACGGGTTTTTATTGCTGATTGTGTCCCCCGCAGGGGAGGTTCACCCTCTCTACATTGTCATCACGATAGAAAGTAACGGAGATCCAAAATTTTGAGTCACCGGAACAGGAACAGAGAGGAAATCTTCTAATGGGGGCACCTGTTCTGGTGATAACACAAGAGAGGATTTCCTCTGACTTGGAAGAGATTTGCTGTTGAGGCCTAGTCAGCTTCTCGTACTCTGTACATGCCAAGTCTGGGGGGTGGACTTCCCTGAGCACATGTCAATCCCTGAGTATTTATCTCCTCCCCTAGCATGCACCACAATTAGCTAACCCTGATGAGCCATAATTAACTCATACACCATACACTCAGTAGAGCTACATGAAAATAATCACAGAAAAAAGTCTAAACTTTGCCCTTCGCTGTGTTCACAGAAATCAGTAAACCGCGTACAAGGAACATTCCTGTTATTTTTTTTCCCCCTGATACATAAATGAGTTTTCAAAGTCATTATGGCTTCACTTTTTTTACTAAGCTGTGTCTCCGCCCCTTTAATAAATATTAGGGCTGCGGAAATTAAAGATGAATCCCTCGAATAATCGTTAATTATTTTGATCGATCAAAGTTCTTTTGATCCGCACTCACCTCTCCGCCGGCTTCCGGGTCTTCCGTCGGAGATCCGGCGACGTCACGGACATCGACGTCACCGGACTCCTCCCCCCTTCCCTAAGTGGCTGTCGGCTAACGAAGGGAAGGGGGGAGGAGTCCGGTGACGTCGATGTCCGTGACGTCGATGTCCGTGACGTCGCTGGACTCCTCCGCCTTCCCTTTGTTACCCGATGGAGCCGCTTGGGCCGGTGAGTACACATCCCGCCCGACATTTCGATTAATCGAACAGGAACCTTTTAATTATTACCAGCCCTAATAAATATATTATATGGATGGTATGATATATACACTGAGTGGCCAGATTATTATGACCCCCCCC